TTGAGGGGGTCATTTGCATACCAGTGGTAACTGGTGGTGCCTGCTGCTTCCTCCACAGTTGTTGCAGCAACAGAAACTTTTGGTCTGGCAGCAAAGAGAGCTGCCTCCGACCGATAGATCGATCGATCGATCGTTCAATGAAAGTGAAGTGCCAGTGCCAGTGTAACCAAATGACGGACTAATCGTCTGACGAACACCAACAAACAGCAAAATGGTTGTCTCAACGCTGAGCATTACGTTGGAGAACAATGGCAAAAATGCGGTGGATGTGCCACACGAAGGTGTTGCAGTGCCTGTGGTGCCAGATAACACGCCCCAGAAGTTTTCGGTTCTGTGCGGCAGCAACAATCATCAAATTAACAATAATGCCAACAACAATAATTACAATCATTTCACCAACAACTCGAACAAAACTCAAAAATCTCAACAACAACAACAACAACAAGAGAAGGAAAATGCTAAACTCAACAATAACAGCAGCAAATATTTCGATATGAATGGCAATGGAATAGAAATGGAAGTGGAAGTGGGAGTGGGTGTGGGAGTGGAACTGGATGCCATCCAAGGATCACCATCACCATCACCATCGAACGCCTCCACATCGATGGCCACGCCCCAGCGTAGCGCCTCCACCCTGCGTCGCGGCATTCAAATCCAACGATCCTCGACACGTTTGCGGCAACAACAGGCAAGTGGGTCTGCGGGGGCATGGCATTCCGGCAGCCCTGTTGGTTTATCGACAACTGCCTTCATCTACATATATACACGCATACATACATACACGAGTAGATGTATATGTAGCTCGAGTGTATGCTAACTAAAGTAAAAATAGCCAACAAGCAAGCACGGACAGCACGAAAACCAGTTGACAAGTAGGCTAACTGGCTGCCGTTGAGTGAGTTCCCCCCGCCTAGGCGTTAAAGCAATAAAAAATTAAAAGCAAAAGCAAAACGAAAACGAAAAAATACCAAACCAGAAACCAGTCGGAACGTTTGATTCGCAGCACACGTGCCTCGACACTAAGCTAGCTGCTAGTGCTCCGCTTCTATATATGTATCATCCGTTCTAAAGCTGGGTAGATAAATCTGTGCTCAGGGAACAAAATATATATTTGATGATTCGTACTACTGTGCCACTAGGGAACATTTACCGTAATTCTCTCTACAAATTTACCACAAGCAATCGATTCAGAAAAAGATTTTAGCGTACAAAATTTCAAAAATATTTAAAATTGATCTAAACCAGGGACCGTAAATAATGATTTTTTTTTGTTAAATTTTGTTCCTTATTTTTCAGTTCAGTAAAATAATTAAATTAATTAATAATAGTGCATAAAAATAATTATTATCACCAAAAGATTATGCATACAAATTTAAAAAAAATACAAACTATAATAATTGCGTTCCCTGATTTAAACCAAAGCAAATTTTGCAGTTTTTCAATGAAAATATTATAGATTGTGGAGTAAATAGAACCATTTCAGTGGTTGGATAACCCGGAATGAGGATAAAACAGTTACATTAGTGCACAAGATTGAACTGAGGGATAGAAGGAGGCTCCGTCCAAGGCTGCGAGAGAAATACAAATTGCTGATTATCCCAGTACCTAATCAAGATATTAAAATAGATGCAAATAATTAATTTTAGCAGCGCTCATTCAAGTACATATATGTATGATAAAGTGATTTATTATACTGATACTGCTTAACTGATAAAGGTGCTTGCAGAGCTCTTTATCGGCTTGAAATGCACTCTATCCAAATGTCGGGGTGGGGGATCGAGCAAGTGCACTTGTGGGCTGAGTTGACATACCCTTTGCCACGAGTGGGTAGAGGGTAGCAGCGTAAATATATTTTTAATTTTTTATTGTACGCGCAATTTCAATATTTATTTATGCCGGCAGTCGTTGTTATTTCTGACTTCGATGATGATGTCATGGCTTTGCCGTCAACGGTTTTTGTTGCTTTTAAAGGCATTCCCCTTCCATTTGTTGTTGTGTGTTGTGTGTGTTTTTCCTTAACAATTACTAAAGTTTCTGGTGTTTACGGGTTGCGGGTTGCTGTTGCTGTTGCTGTTGCTGTCAGATGATTGATGGCCCGAGCGAAGGTAAGAAGCTTTTGTAGGCTTCATTTGATCTATGAATAGCCAAAGGTACGGTTACGGTTACGGGTACGGCTACGGGCCAATGTCTAAGTGTTTCAACTTTTTCAATTTGTGTGGGAGTTTCGTTTCGTTTCGTTTCGTTCGACAAAGACACTTCCAGAGGAATTTCATTCTTTCATGGCTTCAGCTTCAAATGTTAAACGAAAGCTTACAAAAGATTCTCTCATTCCTATCTAAGGTGGTTCTATGGCTTTTGTTTGATAGTTTAAGTCTTAAAAGTTCTTCTTCTTCTTCTTTGAATGTGTTCATTCTCTGTGGTATTTTTATTTGCTGAAACCCAGAACCCAGAACCCACAGCAAGGGCTGTCTGTGTGGGAAGGAAGCATGTCAAATGGCTGATAAAAGTCTTGCCCCCAAAAACCACTTGCACTGATGTCCGAACTTAACTGGCATTCAAAATTTCAAAAGCACTTTATTCAATGATTCAACGACAAGTACAATTACTCCCCGTTTATTGCTTAAGAGGAGTGTGGTGGAGGGGGGAAGGGGGAAGGAATTTCATTGCAAACTTTGATTTCATTTGCAGTTTTAGAGGTACTCCACTTAATGGTCCTTCCGCTCTCTATCTAGTGGTGTCCCTTTTGAAAGCTTTTCGCTTGAAACTAATTCCACTTTTCTGTGACGCTGTGAACATGGCTGATACTGCTATAAAATTAATATCACAAAAAAGAGCTCTTTTCCGTTTCTTTTCCACTTAAATTTTCGAACTAAAAAACAGCTGATCAATTGAGCAAAATAGAAAATATTCATTGTGCATTCTTTCGCTGGGCCTTTTGTTGAGTGTCTCCCGTACTACAGCACCACCCACCCGCCAGTGTGTAGTGTACTATACATACGTATATCTTCTTTTGCTCTTTCTGTGGCTGCCTCGTCTCTGGCTGTCATCTGTTTTCGTTCAACCTCCAATGCCAATGCTCTCCAATCTCCGTTTCGGTTCACATGGTTAGTGCTCTGGAAGTGCTGGCATGGGCATGGGCATGGGTACAGGTGTAGATGGTGCTGCATGAGTTGGAAGATGAGAATGACCCTCACCTCTCTCTCTCTCTCTCTCTCTCTCTCGCTCGCTCTCTCTCTCGCTCTCGCTCCTATGGGGTCAAGGTGAGGGGTTGGGGTTGGGGGTGGTGTTGGTGTTGGTTCGGCATTTTTCAGAGGTGCTTGAAATTTTCTGCTGATTCTCTTTCTGTGTGTTGTGTTGTGTGTTGGGTTGTGTTGGGTTGGGTTGTTTGGAATTTTTGCTCTACGCTTTTGTTGCTCTTCTGGTTCCGTTCCCCCTCGAATTATTATGCAAGTTTAGCAGAATTTTGTTGTTGTATATTTCTTAGTTGCTGTTGTTTTCATCTTCTTTGTTCTTCCTCCTTCTCTTTCTGTCCCTCTTTCTGTTTCTGTTGGCTCTTCCGCCTTTTGGAATTCTGAGCGTCTTTTCTGTTGTTATTCAATTCCGTTGTCGTTTTTTTTGTTTCTTTCTGTCTTTTTCTGCTGTTGTTTTTTTCTGCTGTGTGGATTTTCTACTCTTTAAGGAGGGTATTACGATTTTAAAGCAACGCCAGGCAAAGCGTTTTAAATTTTCTGGAGCAGTCCAAGGCATTCTCCCTTGCACTTTACGGTTGTGTTTAGTACCAGGAACAGTAGCATTACCATTACCATAAATCTGGCTGCAATGGGAGCTAGAATGAACTTAAAAACTGTCTGTAGGGATTCACTAGATCTGTCCTCGCAGCCCTTGAAGATATGCATCTCTGCCGTGCCATATGGCACACCGAAAGATATGAATATTCTGTTCTGAAAGTGCAAAATAAATACACAAAATCAGCAAGAGAGAGAGAGAGAGAGCGCTGATCCATGTAGGATACATATTAATTACAAATCTCTGTCCCCCAAGTTACCCCCATTCTATTTTGTTGGTTCGGAAAAGCTTGCCATTTCCCCGTACTAAATAAATGCGTAACATATTTGGGGCAATTCCTTTGGTTTTATAAGCACTCTGGCATCAATAGCCACCCCCACATTGCGCTGTCGAACAGGTGAAGACAGTGGTGGGGGTGGGGGGGGTGTGCGTGGGGGCCACTTGAGGGGCTTCCGCAATAATTACAGACAACCACCGGGCCACACCCCACACCCCACAGCCCTTTGTTAACCGCTTTGCGCTCATTAACGCATCGCCGGGGCCTGCCCTGCAGGGGACTGTCCTCGATGGGATTTTCTGCGGTATGCAACGGGCCACACCCACCCGGCCACAAGAAACACAAGCCGCCCATCCACCCAGCCATCCACCCATCAGCTAAAGACTCTTTCGGGGCCACTGATACCATACCCTGCAGTTGCAGTTGCAGTTGCAGCTACAGCCAGTGCCGCAGGGCAGTGGAAAATGTTTGAGAAGGGCATGGAGAAGAGGGATTGGAGCATCTACTGGTGGGGATAATGGGATTTAACGGATGAATGCAGCACAGCACAGCACAGCACAGCTTTTCCAATTTAGATGGGCATTTCCTGCCCTTTTTGACTGACATTTTTTTCGCTCAAATCAAAGCAGAAATAGATTATCAGACGATGACACTGGCCACTGGCCACAGGGTATGCGGATGGGCGAATACCGCTCCGATGTTGACCTTCTTTGTGGCATTGGATTCTGTGGCATGTCCGCTCAGGTGGCGTTGCTGTTTCAACTGCTAATTAAATTAGCGCGATTGTCGCCGAATGCGGATTAAGTGCGCCACTTAAGAGTCAACGCCCAGCGGTAGTCCCCAGCCCAGAGCCACAATAAGAACACAGAGCCACCCGAACCCCAACCCGAACCCGAACTCCATTTCCTTGGCTAATGTTTCCGCCTATTTTCTGCAGGAGCAACTGCGCCGCCGACGCGAGGAAGAGGAGCGCATCGCCCAGCAGAATGAGTTCCTGCGGAACAGTCTGCGCGGCTCCCGCAAACTGAAGGCGCTCCAGGATTCGGCCACACCCGGCAAGGCGGCCATGGCCCAGCAGCCGCCGGCTGCGACGGGACTAGCCGCCATGCCCACCGGCGTGGAGAACGAGGCGTATCTGCCGGATGAGGATCAGGCACAGCCACAGCCACAGCCGCAGCCAGAGCAGATCGATGGTGGGTGCTCAATCTTAATCCTTTCCACTGGCCCAGACACTGACTCTCTCTCCTCTCATCTCCTCTCTCCCATCTGCAGGCTACGGTGAGCTGATCGCGGCACTCACCCGGCTCCAGAGCCAGCTGAGCAAGAGCGGCCTCAGCACGCTGGCCGGACGGGTCTCGGCCGCCCACAACGTCCTGGCCAGCGCCAGTGTGGCCCATGTGCTGGCCGCCCGCACCGCCGTCCTGCAGCGTCGACGCCCCCGCGTCGGCGGTCCACTGCACCACAACGCCCTCGGCCTGCAGAAGGACATCGTGGAGCTGCTGACCCAGTCGAACACCGCGGCGGCCATCGAGCTGGGCAACCTGCTCACCAGCCACGAGATGGAGGGCCTCCTGCTGGCCCACGACCGCATCGCCAACCACACGGACGGCACGCCCTCACCGACGCCGACGCCCACACCCGGCAGTGGGCTGGGCTCGATGAGCGGGGCCAGCAGTCCGGTGACGGGGCCCAAGCGAGCAATGGGCGGCGTGGTGGTGGCGCCACCAGTGGTGCCGCCAACGCTGGCGCAGCGCGGAGCAATGCCGCTGCCGCGCGGCGAGTCGCCGCCACCGCCACCGCTGCCCATGCCGATGCCCATGCCGATGCCCATGGCCATGCCGATGAGCGCCTGCTTCGGGACGCTCAACGACCAGAACGACAACATCCGAATAATCCAGATCGAGAAGTCGACGGAGCCGCTGGGCGCCACCGTGCGCAACGAGGGCGAGGCGGTGGTCATTGGGCGGATCGTGCGCGGCGGAGCCGCCGAGAAGTCCGGCCTGCTGCACGAGGGCGACGAGATCCTGGAGGTGAACGGCCAGGAGCTGCGCGGCAAGACGGTGAACGAGGTGTGCGCTCTGCTCGGTGCGATGCAGGGCACGCTGACATTCCTCATCGTGCCGGCGGGCAGTCCGCCCTCCGGGGGCTTTGGCGGCCTCGGGCTGCCCGGCGGTTTGGCCGGCAGCGGCGGACCCGGCTCGGGACTGGGTGCACACCGGGACACAGCCGTGCTGCATGTGCGGGCGCACTTTGACTACGACCCGGAGGACGATCTGTACATTCCGTGCCGGGAGCTGGGCATCAGCTTCCAGAAGGGCGACGTGCTGCACGTGATCAGCCGCGAGGACCCCAACTGGTGGCAGGCGTACCGCGAGGGCGAGGAGGACCAGACGCTGGCCGGCCTCATTCCTAGTCAGTCGTTCCAGCACCAGCGCGAGACGATGAAGCTGGCCATCGCCGAGGAGGCGGGCCTGGCCCGATCCCGCGGCAAGGATGGGGCCAGCAGCAAGGGTGCCACCCTGCTCTGTGCGCGCAAGGGTCGCAAAAAGAAGAAGAAGGCCAGCTCGGAGGCAGGGTAAGCATCTGCCAGGCTGCCAGGCTACCAGGCCATACTGATCTCTCTTCCTCTCTGTTGTCGCCATTTGCAGCTATCCGTTGTACGCCACGACGGCGCCGGATGAGACCGATCCGGAGGAGATACTCACCTACGAGGAGGTGGCCCTCTACTATCCGCGGGCCACCCACAAGCGGCCCATTGTCCTGATCGGACCGCCCAACATCGGACGCCACGAGCTGCGCCAGCGCCTGATGGCGGACTCGGAGCGCTTCTCCGCTGCAGTGCCACGTAAGTGGAGTCCTCTCGCAGCCTCTCGCTGCCTGCAGCCGCTCTCTCTCTCTCTCTCTGTATTTATCTATCTCTCTCGCTCTCTGCGTGTCCTGGCAGTGTTCTATCTGCTCGAGGAGCGCCTCAAGGAGGCCAAGAAAAAGACCACGGCCAAGGGTAAAGCACAGCCACTGCCACTGAATCCCAGAGCATTTGCTAGCTATGCCCAGGCTTCTGGTGTCCCTCCATCCTCTACATCCCACACCCCACACCCCAACACCCGCTACATGCACACACTCAATCCCTGGCTAACCTCTCATCCATCTACTGTTCTCTCTCGCCCTGCAGACACATCACGTGCCCGGAGGGAGGGCGAGGTGCCCGGTGTCGACTATCATTTCATCACGCGCCAGGCCTTCGAGGCGGACATCCTGGCCCGTCGCTTCGTGGAGCACGGCGAGTACGAGAAGGCCTACTACGGTGAGTCGGCGTCAGCCCGGGGCATACCACGGAACGGAAATTAATGTACATATATACCCAAAACCCACAGGCACATCACTGGAGGCCATACGAACGGTGGTGGCCAGCGGCAAGATCTGCGTGCTCAATCTGCATCCGCAGAGCCTGAAGCTGCTGCGAGCCTCCGACCTGAAGCCCTATGTGGTCCTGGTGGCGCCCCCCAGCCTCGACAAGCTGCGGCAGAAGAAGCTGCGCAATGGGGAACCATTCAAGGTGAGAGTCTCAAGGCGAGATTTTGCGTCTGAATTGTGTGTGCTAAATTTTGGATTCATTTTTGGCAGGAGGAAGAACTCAAAGACATCATTGCCACGGCCAGGGACATGGAGGCGCGATGGGGCCATCTCTTTGACATGATCATCATCAACAATGATACGGAGCGCGCCTACCATCAGCTGCTGGCCGAGATCAATTCGCTGGAGCGCGAGCCACAATGGGTGCCCGCCCAGTGGGTGCACAACAATCGGGACGAGTCATAAGGAGCCACTGGAAGCAGAGGCCAGCGACCTACATCCCCTCCCCCCACACACACACCCACCCATCTCAAACTGCAACTCCTGCTACTTCTGCTCCTGCCGCAGTCTTTGTAAATACAGAATTTCCATCGAGGCCATCAGCGAGGTCCTGCACGAGTCCCTCGAAGAAGTACCACACACACACACCCCCCCTATATCACTGTATTTTATATACCCCCGCCCCCTACCCATAAATATTTATATTAACTGTTTGCGAATGTCCCTCCCTCCTCGTGTGTGTGTTTTTTTTTTAACTGTTTGGAAAGCACTTCCATGCCCATTACGTATGTTGTATGTCCAGTCCACCCACCCCACTGTGTACTTATGTTAACGGAATTGTTCTTCGATTAACCATTATTGTTCCATACTTTTTTTTTTAACCCTAACTTATATACAATACACATAATATATAATGCATACGAGTATATATACCATACAATATATCGTATTTACTTATTTATTTTTTTTGTTTTTTTTTAAGCCAGGGCTGCGCGGGCAAATCGAAATTGTAAATTAGCAAATTACGACAGCCCGAAAGCCCTGAAGAGCCCAAAATAAATTGTGTAATAATACTACTACCGTAAGCGATAACAACCAACAACAACAAACCAATCGAATCGAATGCAAATCCAAAATGTTAACAGAGCCAGAACAATCCGTACAATCCGTAGGCAGCGGGCGGTTAAAGGAGAAGAAACAGAAACAAAACACGTGATGTAGGAAGGGGAGGAAGGAAAGAGTGGAATGTGTAGAGAATCAGATGCATATTGCAATTACGTAATCTATTTACTTTATACAGATACCGATACCGATACCGATATACATACTAGTATACATAACTTATAGACGAAGATCGAAGCGTACTTAAACCATTTAACTCTTAACGAAACGTAGCAAAGTAAAAGCTTTGAAGCGAGAGAAAGAGAAACAACAAAATCAGTACGTCATTGCCAAAAAAAAAAAAAAAGACGAGAGTGAGCGAGAGTGGAGAGGGGGAAAGTAACGGATAATGGATAATGGAAGATGGATGATGATAGATCGAGTTAGGGGGTGGGAAAAAAATTACTTAGAGCAAAGAAAACACGAGCAACCACGAGCGAAATTGTTTAGACGAACAAATGCAAAAGCCGAAACCGTAGCGAACTTGAAGCACTGTAAAAATAAAAACCAAAACAAGTAATCGAATGAAAAGCGATTGGGTGGGGGATGTAATCGATGTGGATGGGTGGGTAAAGGGAAAGGGAAAGGCAGCATTAGGTTGGAAAATGCATTAGGCTAAGCATCAAACGAAAATACAAAAGTAAATGTTGTTGTAATTAATTATCGTAAACTACAAAAAACAAAAAGCGAAAAAGCTAAAAAACAAAACACGTCTAGAGAACAAAGAAAGGAAAGAGTAAGAGTTGGTTTCCCACAGCCAAAACCACTAACGAGACCGGAATAGTTGCAGGTTTTAGGCATGAATAACATATTTTGATGAAATATATATTATATAGAAATATATACATACATACATACGAATACGAGTACACGTACATACGTGTACAAGTACGAGTATATGTATGTGTGCAGAGTGCAACATCTGGAGGCGGGCAACATGAATTTTATATTGAATGAAGGGGTAGTAAGAACGGGGGCAAAAACTACGAGTATATGTATGTATGTATGTAAACACAATGTTAAACACTTGAAAGATTCTACGAGCGAAACAGAAATCCATATATACATATACATATATATATATATATACATAAATATACATATAATTAAATTGGAAATATTTTTTTTTTTTGTAGTCAACAACGTATAAACAATGTGTGTGCAGTAAATCTGTTTAAGTTTTTATTTATACGCATTCCAAATGAAACTAAATGAAATAAAACAAATAAAATAAATACGAAACATGAGAAAAACAAAAGAAATCAAACGACAACCAATACAAAAAACAAAACAAAAATCACTAATAAATACAAATGCAAATATTTAGTACGTTGTATGTGTGTATATGTGTGGCGTAGCAAAAAACTAAACTAAATTACGAAACAAAATTACCTAAAACAAACACACAAAGTACATGCAAACCGAGAAAGCGAAGCTAGAATATGCTTGAGCAGATTACAGAGCAGAGAACAGACACAAGGTTTAACAGCAACTGTATGGGGAAAAAACAGACAAAACCATTTTTAAGTAACCCCAAAACGCAAGCGCAAGCGCAAAGAAGCGATTAAGTCAGACGAAATAATAATATTAAAACGAATAATAAAAGAATGACAAGCAAACGAGTCTTAACTGCGTTTCCATGCATTTGAATTTCGGTTGAGTGGGCGGCCTATCGATAGGTTGGCGCCTGCTCATAATTGCGTCGATCTATGCTCGTCTTTGCGTCGATCGCTTCTCATATTTGCTGATTTTCCTCCCAGGAGATCGATAGACTAAGTGGACGTTGTTTTTAGCTTTTAAAATGCTAAGCAGAGTTTTGTTTATTAATACAGTTAGAAACAGGAGAAATCAAAAGAAAAGTTATGTAAAGTTTGTGTTGGGAACAGATCTTGGCCGGGGATATCGCTGGACTGGAAGGTTATCGTGGGTTCCTTTGGCTGAAGGGAGCGAATGGGGTTGATATCTTTCACCACCCGCCGCCGCCATGTTTGCCACCACCATTTCCGCCGCCGCCGCCTCCGTGCTTGCCACCGCCGCCTCCACCGCTCTTTTGCCAGCCTCCCTGGCCACCACCGCCTCCACCTTGCTGCCATCCACCTCCACCGCCGCCGCCTTGCTGCCAGCCTCCTTGGCCACCACCACTCTTCTGCCAGCCTCCTTGGCCCCCACCTCCGCCTCCGGAACCGCCAGCCGAGACAAAGGCGAAGAGGAGTCCGCACAGGAACACAACGAGTAGGGCGTACCGCATGATGAACTGATAAAGAGGAACTCTGTGTCGGATTGCTGCTGGAAGCTTGACTCCACCGAAACTGATGCTCTATTCCGGCCCAGAACAGCGCTTATATAGCATTTACTATGGCCCAAAATCCAACCAAGTCACGCTGCTGCACCCGGAACCGGGTTCAGCATAAGCATCTGAAGCTCTCGGCTCAGCACAAAGCCATAGATCTTGAGAACGCAGCTGCACCTGCAATCACTGCCAAGGTGCAGCACACGGGGGCAACACTGGCCACTTGTAAACTGTTGAGCCACTGCCTCTTCATTAATTATGTGCCACAAACGCCCTCGGCCTGGCACTTGTAGCTCTCCGTAGCTCTGTCATTTATCAGATAATATTTGCATAGCTCTTGATACCCTCTAGAAGGGGGTAGTGGTGGTGTGGAGTAGTGCGAATGTACTTACTACAAACTACATTATTCTAGTTTTAAATGCTCGCATTCGCTTTTCTCTCTTCCCGCGTACATTTGGTCAGCAATCGGTGCTGTCAACTTTTTAGAGGAAAAGTAGCTGTTCAGTGGTCCAACATGACAAAATAGCTTTTAAACTTGGACCTTTAAGTCGAACTTTAAAATTAGCCAGAACTAGCTATAAAATAGCTGATTTGGCAACAGTGAAAGCCGTTTATTTGTTGTTTCTTTGCTGTGATGAACAAGAACAATGCAATGATTCGTATAGATCGACTCCTTCACTCAAACTCTGCTTGAAGGGAGAACAATGATGAGTAACAGTTGGGTCGAGATTTATTGCGTCTATTGGCCATGCTCCAAGAATATAATGCAAAAACTCAAAGTTGAAAATGAATTGTACAAAAATGTATTGAACCCTTTTTCCATTTATAATTTATCAAGCTGGGCCCACTGTGCGCATCTGCTGAGCTGTCTCGTGATCGCTCGGATCGTTTCTTATGAACAGACCAGAACACAGCAGAACTGGGGTGGTGGTGGTGTAAAAGAGAGTGCGGCAGAGAGGTTTTTCCTTCATTTTCCCCTTTTCTTTTACTGGGAAGTTTTTCTTTGTTTTTCTCCGTTCTAAAATTGAAAAGTTGTAAAAGGATTTCACTCCGGTTTGCCTACCTTTGTTAGTTCGGAAAATTAAACACTTTTTTTTTTTTTTTGGAAAAATTATTAAACAGAAAACTTTTATTTCAACAAATACATATCTGGGGGATGTGACACTGAGATGGGGGAGCTGTGGGTGCTATCACAATTACCAGCTGCCGCCACCGCCGCCGCCACCCTGGGCCCAGCCACCAGGTGGAGCCCATCCTCCGGACTGACCACCGCCCTGTGCCCATCCTCCGCCACCGCCACCACCAGCTCCAGAATCCGCTTCGGAGATGACTTTGATGATCTTGACAGAAGAGCCACCACCACCGCCTCCTCCTCCGGAAGACCAGCCGCCACCGCCGCCTCCTCCTCCGGAAGACCAGCCGCCACCGCCGCCTCCACCTCCGGAAGACCAGCCGCCACCGCCACCGCCACCGCCATGTCCTCCAGAAGACGACTGCTGGGAGATGATCTTGATGATTTTGATCTCCTGACCGCCACCGCCCCCACCGCCGCCTCCTGACTGCCAGCCGCCACCGCCGCCTCCTCCTCCGGAAGACCAGCCGCCACCGCCACCGCCACCGCCATGTCCTCCAGAAGACGATTGCTGGGAGATGATCTTGATGATTTTGATCTCCTGACCGCCACCGCCCCCACCGCCGCCTCCTGACTGCCAGCCGCCACCTCCACCGCCGCCTCCCGACTGCCAGCCGCCACCGCCGCCTCCTGAGGAAGCACTCTCTTGGATCACTTTGAAGACCTTCACAGGAGCAGCAGAGCCATGATCATGTCCGCCGCCGCCGCCGCCGCCGCCGCCGCCGCCGCCACCGCCAGGCTTTGGCTTGGCCGTCACGCTGGCCGCTCCGATGAGCAGGAGACACACAAAGGCCTGCAAGACAGAGACCCAGACAGTCAGCAATCAGCAAGGATTCACACACAAAAAGCACCAAAAAAAAAAAAAGAAAAAACAAAAGGGGGAAAGGGATCAGCAGGCAACGCGATGTCTGGGATATGTTTTTTGGATGGGGAGATAAAATTTGGGATATTCCACAATCCTGCCGAGTCCACGTACTTTCATGGCTGCTAACGCTTCGAGTGAGTACTGCGCTGAATTGAATACGCTCTGTGGAAACGCCGCGGATCCACAACTGACATGACCACCACCGGGTGCCCAGGCTTATATACCCAGCCCCAGCTGAGCCGAGATGCTGTGGCTGTGGCTGTGGCTGCAGAGCCCCACGAGCATTAACCGGAAAAGCACTGCAGAAAATGCTGCAAAAAGCAACGATTTTCCACGCTCACTGCTGGAGTCGAGTCGAAGTGCGGTAGTTGCAGATGGCATGCAGCATGTGGCAGATGGTAGAGGTGGCTCTGCCAGGCAGCAATGTGGGCCAAAGCTGCCGCATCATCATCATTGCCATTAGAGCCGTTAGGGATAGTGGTCCGGGATGGCAGGCAGGCAGGCAGGCGGTAGGCGGTAGGTGGTAGGCGGTAAGCGAAAGTGAGGCGACTCTCTGTCCACAGACAACTCATAACGGTGACTCCATTCGTTTGTCCCATCTGCAACAGATTGTGGCTGTGGCTGTGTGTGTGGCGTTGGTGGCCGGTCGAACGGTTCGTTTGTGTGGCATCAGCATGAGCATTGCATGAGCATACCCCCAAACAGTCCGACTAAGCAGTTGGCTGCACCTTTCCCATTAAATAATCCATGTGGCAGCCGCCGTAAAAACACCGACCCAACTTGAAACTTGCAACTGCTGATGCTGGGTGACATTATTTGATTTGCATCTCGGGCTCTGCAGCCCGTAATGGCCCGATCATTTGCAATTTTCCCCAAAACGATGACAAAGCCCCAGTTGAACGACGGGACCAGCGTCAGACCTGTTGCCCGATCCCAGATCTCAGATTTCAGCATTCATCCATTAACCATTCGGGCATGACATGTCCACATTAGCCACACCAACAGACCAACAGACCAAAAGCCACCGAAAACCGCCACATGGTTCACAGCCAAAAATGTGTTCCAAAAGATCGCTTTAAAATGTGCAGACAAATTGGCCAACAGGCGGGACAGGCGTCAAAGTCGATCGAGTCTGGAGACCTGCACGAGGTGCCTCCGCCCCCGTTTATTTATTTCCAGAATATGATTACCAAAATCTTTTGATAAATTCTTTTTGCAAATGATTGACCCATGAAAAGGAATAGAAATACTCCAGTCAGTACCTCAATAAAGCAGGGAATAAAGGGAAACAAAGGGAATATTTTTACCAAAAAGCACTTTCGAGCGAAGTCTAGCGAATTTCAGATATATCCACATACAAACTTATGTATGTATATACAATATGTGTATTTAATTTGTTAAAATAAATAAGCAACAGATGGTACATATTCACATTTTCTTATAGCTGTTATACTCGAAAATGAAGCTACACTTTTGGGATTAGTAAAGGGAAATCCTATGTACATCGATCTGTCTGTCAGCTTCGGAAGAGGGCCAAAAAATATCTTCTGATTGTCAGGAAATATTAAATGGTTTTTCTCTGCACAAATCAAATCGTTGCGTTTCGAAATTTGTTCAATATATCTGCAGACATCGAACCCACATACATTTAGCATTCAGTTAACAACGAGATGCACTCCATCACACAGTCCGAACCACAAGCCACACGCTTGCCTCTCATTAAGGGGTCTAGGAAAAGGGCGGCTTTGGAGGCGTGCCAGCAGCACTCCACTCCACTAATTACAGATGCGATAATTTCCAACGAAAGTGCCATGTGAGCGGCGGCAGCACACTCACACTCACACTCATAAAACTCCTCATCAGCATCTCTTACACAATCTGGCGGAGATCCCCGCGGAAGAGGCAGCACAGACATAGTAAATAAACTGCCGTCAATTGCAACGACGACCCAGACGACAGACGCAGTGGCAGTTGCAGTTGCAGTTGCATTACCAATTGCAGTTACTGAAGACGCAACACGACGCACTAGCGGCGCGAACAGTGGATGGTAGTCACAGGGCCTCCCCACCTCAGGGGGCATGAGTCTCGAGGAGCTAAGCGGCCAGCATCATATAATCGTACATGCTGTGAGCGTCTGCTACAGCAGGCTAAAACGATTGGATCGGATTAGATCAGCGTGGCACGAGGCCACAGACACGGACACAGCTACAGCCACAGCAGCTGGCTGCTAAACAGCAAGAAAACACCACAAAATTGTGGGATAATTCTCCATAGACACCAGGCAATGCTGGGTTTAATATCTGATGGATAGGCCTGATAGGCCCAGCACCCGTATCAATCCTTTTCCCTGAGGGCTGGGCTGCATTTTAAATTTCCACTTGCTTTGCAGCCAGTGTGCCCAGCGACAGTCAACGTTCGGGCCCATAAGTGGCAAGTGGCAACGAGGAAGTGCCACAAACAGCCTCGACCTATCCTATGGCTTGTGCCAGGGCAGAGGCAGCGGCAGCGGCTGGGGGCAGGCATGCTGGCGAGACGCTCACAGACAATACATTTTTTTTGTAGTGTACTGGAGCAGCGGGTCAACTGCACGCTTCGCGATTCGGATGCACCGCCTTCGGGTCTTCGGGTTGGGGGGAAGAGGTGGAAAACAAGTTTTGTGCCTCCATGAACTTATGATATTTATGGGAGCTTGCCACGGAGCGGAGGTTCCCCTTTCTCACTAATATTTGGATGCCGGGTCTATAATTTTCGCATTGAAACCGAAATACAAAGAGACAGAGAGAGACACAGAAAGTGAGCGAGAGAGACGACATTCGATCAAATATTGTAATCGCTTGAAAAAGAGCCGGTCGATGTCTGGTCTCTGTTTCTGTCTGGCTTCCGGATTATTTCGTAACTCGGCTTCCTGCTTCGCTGGGCCCGGGAGCCAGCAGCAGAGCCGCATCCTGCCCAGGGCTTATGAAACAACTTCTCCTGGCCAAGCGAATGACTCAATCGATTGTGGAGCATCTCCATAGGGGGACACACTACCTCCTACTGTTTGATGGCCAGTTGGTTGGATGGTTTTGTTGTACAATTTTTTGGTTTGGTTTATTCGAATAATTATTCATAGGTTTGTATTCGTTAATAATTAATTAATTCGGTAATTTAATTAAGTTTAAAGTGATGTTGTCTGTTTACATTGCATTTGGTTTCAGTTTTTTCCTAAGTTGTATAATTAATTTGTAATCTCATTCGTTAAATATCCATTTGGTTAATTATTGCAAAACGCCTCCAAACACCGGCATCATGTCCGGTCCGCTATCTGGATGATCTATTTATGTGACCCCCCCATATAACCTAGATGATCTGGCTGATCTCGGCGATGAACTACCCCCATGGAGAGATCTTCCATATGCACGCGACTCTCATATGTGTGTGTATGTGTGTGTGGCGGCTATCCGTTATCCTCTATGTGGAGTTGTACACTCGGTTAACCGCTTACGATGCTTATATATAGGCATATGTATATTACGATATAGCTATGAGTATCCAGCTCCTACGGGATGGGATGGGATGTTCCCCCGCATTGAATTTAACTATTTATAGAGCACATACAAAAAAAATGTCTAAAAAAAAAGGGAACACTCGGAAAAAAAAACATGGGATCTAATGCAAGGATTTAAAGTTAATTTAAGATTATTTCCTACGCGAAGACTAGACTGCTTTATTTTTACATCGAATCTGCACTCCTGACTAGATGGATTCGTGACTAGAGATGGATTGGGGAGGGGGGGATGGGTTGGGCTGTCTGGGTGAGCCGCAAGCGTCCGCCGACAAAGAGTCCAGATGAGATTCGTTTATTAGCAACACCTTTCAGGTACTTATTAAATACTTATTCTGGCTCCGAACGATGCCCGGGGCTGCTCACGGGGGCGATTGGGGAGAGGGGATATTGAGGTCTGATCATTCCGGGTCTTGGCTCTGTTCCGGAGAGATCATGACCTCAATGGGCATTAGCTATTGTTCCATTATGATTGTATCCTCGGGCTTGACATTGCCGGAGTTGATGGCCTCCATGGCCTTGCTCAGGAGGGTGGCATCCTTCAGGCTGACGACCTGCACCAGTTGCGGTTCCTGCCCCGGACCGCCCTGGATCATCATCTGGTGCATGCCGGGGGACATTGTGATCGTCTCCAGCTGATCGCCGTTCTCCACCTGTTGGGGCACAAAGCACATAGCAAATAGAAACAAGGTTAGAAATTATTCGAAATGATATTTTAAATTAAATTTTTTTTGTTTTGTATTGTGATGCATTGTATTGTGATGGGGGGGAATCTTTTCTGGTACTGCCTCGCACATCCGTCTGTGTCTGTCTCTAAGGAAAATAAAATTGGAAAAAAAAAGCAAAGGAAATAAAAGGAACGATCAAACGATCGAAGAATACTTACACAAAATCAGGGCTAGCAAAATATATGGTAAAAGTGTGAGTAAAATATATGCATATGAAATAAATTAAATAAAACAAATACCAATTATAATTAAAATCACAACAACAAAAGGTTTATTCAATAAAATTTGTTGGTTTTTTGTTTTCTGTTTTTGTTTACGTTTTCACTTTCACTTCACTTTTGATCCGAGCGCTGCAGGGTAGCGGCTGCGGATAAACATTTGGTCTAAAACAACTAAAATATAATATTTTCAATTTCATACATACAACTAAACATTCAAATAATTACAATAATAATAAAAATTGAATAAAACATAATAATAATAATCATAATAAAAAATAGTCATAGATCAACATAAAAATAACTTTGTATGCACTTTCAATATTTGCAGCGAGCGACCCAAAAGGCTGTGCGAATGCCAGGCAAGTGATGGGATACGCCCCATATATATTATATAACCTACTCTCTATATGTTTGTATTTATATCCCACATGATTTGGGGGCTAATCCAAGGCACAAATTACAATTAAAATCGATGGCATGCTCTGCTTCAGCTCTGGCTCTTAAATGTTTTTCTTTTGTATACATTTTCAATGCGGCATTGACTAAAATTTGGTTTGGGTTTTTGGTTACGGTGTTACGGGTAACGGATTACGGGTTACGGTTTATGTTTTAAACTAGGTTCCTGTTCGCTTGACTACTTATCGAACTAAACTAAACTAACTCAAGATTTGCCTAGCATTCCAATTGCAACTGATCAAAGATCAACTCTCCTCCTTACCTTTACATTTAAATTCTAAAATATTTGGTCTGAGTTCCACTCTATGCCCTAGCAAGATTATGTGCACGATTATATAAATATAAAGTAAATCGCTTAAAACTAAAACAAACGACAACAAAAACGGATATCCATGATTGGTTTGCTACAGCTTGATTAACTAGGAACATGACTGATTAATATTCACTTTTAGTTTTCTTTTTTTTCATTTGCTTTGCTTTGCTTTGCTTCTCTTTGATTTTCTGCTCTCTGCTCTCTCTGGGTGCATATTCTGATTTTTGGTTCTTGTTTCATTTATCAACAAATTGTATTCCTATTTGGTTTTGGTTTTGGTTTTCATATTCTTCGTTTCATCGAGGATTCTTCCTAAACGAATTCAAATAAATTCTATTCCACGTTCCAGCAGGAACCCTTTTTGCTATATTTCCTACTCTGGTTTCCTGCTTCGTTTCCTCGTTTCGTTTCTTCTGGCATTCACAATGTATTTTTCTGTTTTTTTCTAAGTATAGATGGCAAGTGTGTGTGTGTGAGGTGTGTCTATGTTGTTAGCTAAATTGTTGTGCAAAGCCGCTTCTTGACTAGATTCGAAAGGTGCCTGTATCATCTGTATCTATATCTGGGTGGGGTCTTCTACAAGACTACGAGTCTACTGCGGGTCTACTGGTCTACGGCTACGGTCTACGGTCTGGTCTACTACTCAAAGTTCTCCAGCTTAATCGTCTTGGCCGGCAGCTGCAGCTGCATGTTCGTCAGACTGGCACTGTCCACGCAACGTATGGCGGCAGCTGTAGCCGCCGCCGAGGAGGAGCAGCCCATGCCTACAGGGGATCCGCTGGAGGCGGATGTTTCGCCCGTCGCCTTTGTGGGTAGCTTGCGGCTGCTCCTACCGGGCTTGCGACGCTTTTGTGCGCCGTTTCCGGCCTTGCTGGTCGCCGCCACACGTCGCGTGGAGCGCGTTGTGGTCGCAGCCGTCGTGGTGGTGCTGCTTGTCGTTGTTGCATGGGCAGTGGGATTGGAATTGGGTATGGGAGATGCCAGCAAAATGGGGAGGGGCCTCTTAATGCTATTGCTGCTGCTGCTGTTGTTGTTGTTGTTGGCAAGGGTACTATTGTTGTTGTTGTTGTTGTGGTGGTGGTGGTGATGTTGGTTATGGTTATGGTTCTGGTGGAGATTAAAGCCCGCACTACTGCTACTATGGTTGCTACTGCTACTGTGATTATTGGTGGCCGCTGGCGCTGCCGCCAGATAGTAGCGCGCCCCCGCAGCTGCCTGCAATGTGAGCGACTGTTGGTGGTGTCCCAGGGTCGCGCCGCTGCCACTGCCACCGCCACCGGCACCGCCACTGCGTCTGCCGAGAACGGCATGGCCAGCGCTGATCAGCGAGTAGCACTGCAGGGAGCCGGTGGCCGGCGGCTGAGACCCCGAGGCCGAGCTGGAGGTGCGCGTGGCACTGGTATCTACCTGCATGGGGGCCAGGCACACGGTGCCGTCGCTGTTCGTCTGCAGCTGCTGCATGTTGGCCATCACCGACTGGTACATGGAGACGGGCACCGAGATCACATTGCTCACGGAGACGGGATAGCCTGCAAGGGAGACGCCGCATGAGCCCAACTTTCATAATCCAATCGGATAATCCAGCCACTACTCACCCTGCCCATCCTCGGTGGTGATATAGATTTGGCCATCTTGCGTCTCGGTCAGATCCACGGTCATATTCTCATGCCCGTTGACATCGGTGAGACTTTGTACGGTCTGGATGGTGGCCCCACCCTCTCCCTGATGCAGCTGCAAATGGCAAAGGGATTAATGGAGTCCGGTCGTGCAAAGAGCCCTCCACACTACTCACCGTTGCCACGCCCTGCACCTGGGCGGTTGTGCCGTCCGACAGCGTGATAATGGGATTGTTGGGATCCACCTGGATGAGGGACACCGTGCCATCGGCGTTCTGCGAGAGCACAGTCTGCGTGGTGTACTGTACGGGAAAGAGAGGCGATCAAGAGTTGGGGTTATGCGACAAATATATAACAGATATAACAGCGTTAAAAGATAGATAATCAAGCGAACAAAGCAAATCATATATCTTAAAAAAGTGCAAAATAAATTAAGCAATAAATTAATTTAAATTATATACAAACAACATTCAATGAATCGAAGCAACATTCAATTAACAGACACCACAGTGAATAAAGATCGGTTTTTTATTTTGATTTGCTTTTTGTTGGTGTTGGAGTTGGAGTCGTGTGTGTGTGTGTGTGCGTGTGGGATATTGTTTCGAATGTGCGATTTGTGTGTTCGACTTGTGGCAGATGGAAATAATGAGAACTTGCAATGAAAACCCAGCTGAAAAAAAAGAGACAAAAAAAAAACAACAACAAAATATATGTAAAAAATAATTAGAAGACAAACAAACAAAACAAAAAAATAATATCAATCAAATCAATCGGTTTTAATCTCTTCGCAAAGACAAGCAGAAGTACAGTACAGTACATCAAAATAAATCTGCTAATGTTAACAAAATGATAATACAACGAGTGGCAGCATTGCAAGTAAAAAAAAAGGGGGAAAAAATAAACACAGCAAACATCAAACATCAGCAGCAGAACAACATAACGTTGAGCCAAATAATAATCTGCGAACAGAAGAGGTTTTTGGGTAATGGACGAACGAGCACCTATGGACCCTATGGACTATGCACGGGACCTATAAATATCTTGCTGATTTTACAGTCAGCAACGACGAACAATTCAAACATTATTGATGTGCAAATTGCTTCAAACTTTCTTCCTCAATCGGTTTTTGCCTAATTCCCAGATTAATCTTCAGATAAGGGCCTACGGAACGTGAATTCAACTCTCACTTTCTTGTATGACTGCATTCGTGACTTTGATGGGAAACCCTTTGAATGGATTCGAATTAAGAAGAGATTCCTTATGGAGCGGCATAGCGGATGCTCGAAACGTACAAGTGAATGCTGCAGAAGAGAATGCCAGAGAGTTGCAAACAAAAACACAAAATACATGTCGTGTGCATGACGCGAATAGTTTAAATAGTATCTCCCGCATAATATTCTAACATCCCCATTGGTTCTGAATATATAACTCTCTCTCTCTCTTTCTCATATAGGTATAAATGGACTTGTAGCCTGAGCGACTATGAGATACCCTGCCATCAGCCATGTCCAAGTGCATAGATGCCGCCATAGGTGCACGTCGTGTTACCGGCTCGTTGATTAGTGGGATACAAGAACAGAATCAGAACAGAAAGAATGGCAATCGGATTCGGATTCGAATTCGAATTCCGTTTCAGTTTCAGATTAGTACGAACATCAACGTCGCTCAGCGTTATGGGCTCGATGCAAACTTGGGCATTCGCTATCTGCTGGGCAGTGACGGTCTGGGCGGCCGAATTCTGGGCTGCGGCCGCTGCCTGGGCGGCACTTACGGCTGCTGCCGTCGTTGGCACAGCGGTGGCCGTGGTCGTCCCGCTGGCGGTCGTCAACTGTATGGTCTGCGGCTGGCCGCCGCTGATGGGCTGAATGTGTACGGTGCTGCCGGCGGGAAGGTGGTGCTGCTGGTGGTGCTGTTGTTGTTGTTGTTGCTGGTGGTGGTGCTGCTGCTGCTGCTGTTGGTGATGTTGTTGCTGCTGCTGCTGCTGTTGCTGCTGCTGTTGTTGCTGCTGGTGGTGCTGCTGCTGCTGTTGCTGCTGCTGCTGGTGGTGCTGTTGGGCCGGCGCCTGGCATATCTCGATCTTGGTGGAGGCCGGCAGGGTGGCCGTAGTGGTCACATGCTGGTTATTGGTGCTCTGGATGATCGTCGGGGCCGGGGAGTTGGTCTGGGCCGTGTGTGTGGTGATCACCGTGCCGGCGCTGTTGATCTTAACCACATTGACCTGCTGCGGTTGCTGTTCGTTAGAGTTGAAGGTTGGAGGTTGGAGTTTGACGGTTAGTTAGTCGAATGAAACAAATGTGGGGTTAGTGGCATCGAATGGGAGTGAACGGATGGACCACGGATGGATGGGGTATCGGGGGGATGCAGTATGGACCAGACAGAGATTAATATTCGGGCGACGCGTGACACCGTGTGACCCAGACGTTGCAGTGCCGCTGCACGCTGATCGGAAATGGGATTCGGTTGGTGGGCGGCCCTTTGGGTCATACTCACGTTGCTGTTCCCTGACGGGGGCGTCATTGTTGTCACTGTGTGGATGGTGGGCGTGCTGGATAGCTCCATGTCCTCGTCCTCGTCGCCCGATTGCGAGATCAAAGCGTTCACCTTGTCATCGTCATCGGCAAAGGTCGGCAGCAGATCCTCCCGTCCATGATATTTGTAGCAGTTGATCACGATCTTGCGCAGCGCATGCGTCCAGCTGATCTGTAGCCATCACCGGGTAGATAGATGAAAGGCGACAATGGGAATGGGAAGCTTGTGATTAGTACAATTCAGCGATTAAACGGGGGCGGCTGTTTAACACCCACCCCACCCACCTTCTGCTTGTCGTCCTCGGAGCGGGCATCCATCCGCACATTGGCCCACGGCAGCTCCTTGGGCCACCAGGGTGGCCGCGTCGACTCCCGTCCCCAGCCCGGTTTGCCCCGTCCCGTTGAGTACTTGAGCATTAGTGGAATGAAGGCCCGCAGCTGGGCCTGGGTCATCTTCTCGACGGGCGTTGGTATCCCATCGATGACCAGGCCGGGCAGCTCGAACAGCGACGGATCGTCCTGGGGCGGCGGCGGCGCCTGCTGCGCCAGCGCATTGTCCAGCTCGTCCATGACGATATTCTTCAGGTTGCGTAGCACATCCTCCAGCGGCTTGGCGCCGAACACCTTGTAGCTGGTGTTGGGCTTGCCTGGCGTTGCCACCAGCACCACCGCCTGCTTGCCGACGCGACCCGTGAACTCGTAGATGATGCCACGCAGCTTGCGCAGCAGCCGGTTCTGCTGCCGCTTGCGCACCGACGGATTCGTCTCGAAGCAGTGCGGCCGCTTGCGTTTCTTTGAGCTGGCGATGGCCGCTGCGGCCGCCACACCGACTGGTCCGGCGGCGGCCAGCTGATGGGCGACATCATCGTTGACGGGTATCGAGCCGAGATCACCGTCATACAGGCTCCCATCGCTGCTGATCAGATCCTCCTCGTCATCGTCGCTGCCCAGGCTCTGGATATCCTCGTCGAGCATCTCTATCTTGTAGGTGGTGCCGTTGCTCTGGCTGCCGCCGGACTGCACCTGGCTGTGACTGTGGCTGCCGCTGCTCGTCGTCGTGATGGTGGTCACGTTGAGGCCACCGCTCCCAGAGCTGCCATTGCTCCCATTGCCGCCGCTGGAATTGGGACCGCCATTGCCGCCGGTCGTTGTTACGACCACATTGCTGCCGCCGGAGTTCCGCTGGCTGTTGGCCGGGGCCACGACCAGACGATAGCTTGTGGTTGCCAGTTTGCCTGTGTGTGGATGCCTTTCTCGATCTGTCGCTGTCTCTCACTCTCTCGTTCGTCTCTTCCTCTCTCCCTCTTCCTGTCTCGTTCTGGTCTGGTCTGGTCTGGTCCGGTCGGTCCTCCTTCACCTTCGTTCCTTCGACTGTTGGCCCCTTATTCGCATGCGCACTGTGTGATGATAAGAGCTGTGGAAGACACACACACACAACAAACAACAAACAGAAATCAGAATTAACATTTAAGTGCTTTACTTATGTATGGACATATATATGCATGAATATTTGTATCTCTTTCTGGCAGTCTCTTTCTCTGTGAATAACTACAGTGGAAAAAAGCTCTGCAGTTGCTCTTGCTGATAAGCGAAATGTGAATCAGGTCAAAAGCGCGCATGCGCAACGCCCAGCAACAATTAAAAAACAGAGCAACACACAACAACAAAAACACATACACCCACACACACACCCCCCCCACCGGGGCCGCGCACCCCCCGGGGGGGGGGCCCGGGGCCGGGGGGGGGCCCCCCGCGCCCCACACACATAAATAAATGACAGAAATATATGTATATAACACGCGTGTACACTGTACATACGTTTATATAAACAGCTGGATGCCAACACATGGGGACCCATGGGGGGTTGGACAGTGGCAAAGACAGGCTAAAAGATGCCACAGATTCTACAAAATAAAGCTTGGAATTTTCCATCTAACGAAAAGCTTTGAATAAGTGTGCTTTTCTATTGCCAAAATCCTATATTTCTCGCCTCGATGCATCCTGTTGGGTTATTCAAGGGTCAAAACGTGAATGGCTTCTGCGCTCTAACAACTCAAAAACGAATATTTTATTAGACAATTTCTCAGGTATCCACGTTTACTTTTTGCCCCCACAAGTAGTTAGAACTCACTACTAGTGTTTCTTGCACAGCTGCACCTTATCGGCTTTGAAGCATTCGAACAGCATTGGACCCCGGGCCACAACTTGAAGCATTTGTACGTGTAGGGTCCGATGATGGGCCACGGAGAACGTGAGCTTGTCACTTAATTTACATACGAGTATGTGTGGGCAGGGGGCAGGGGGCAGGGTGCAGGGGTTAGGGTGCACAAGGTTAACAGAATGTTCGGATGTGGCATACCAACTGCAATACCCCGTGAATACTCTTCTGTTCCCAGAGATGACTTCACGGCGTGTACTTATATGCCCATAATTATTTGTGGTATTTCGATTCGACTTAGAACTCCATAAATAGGTATTTCCCAAAGCTCCATTCATTTTATATCCCATCTCTTTTACATGCTTAATTTACATCTCTCTTATTTGAGCAAATCTATGTGCTTGTGCAGTCATCTCTATATCTATTTACACGTACTAGAAAAATAGATAAGTTGTCTTTCCTGTCTACCTTTTCTTATAGAATTTTCAAATATTTTAAATGGTTTAATTAAAATTAAACTTTTAAGAAACTAAAAACTAACTTTGGCACTGTTTTCGTTTGTTTTTTAAGCACGTCGAATGGGAATCTCTTGCTGTTCCGGGCATGGCGCTTCCATCCCTTGCGATCTCTTTCTTGTGTTCTATTTTATTCCTTATCTATTATCTATGCATCTCAGTCTTATTTTTTTTCTTTTTTAATTCTTAGGCGTGTGTACAATTCTTTATTTTTTTTTAAATCAGCAAACAAATCAGCTAAATTTGTTTACTATTTATTCTCGTTCACTGTACATCTCTTTCACTTTCACTCTTGCTTTCTCTTTCTATTTTCTGCTCTCTCTCTCTCTCTCTAAGAATCTCTGAGCATGTGCCGTCGTCTCCTCTCTGCGCAGACTCCCCAAGCTTCGTTCTTTCTTCTGCCAATCACTCTCCCTCTCTTCGCCCAGTATCTCACTCTCTCTCTCTCTGTTTCTGTCTCACTTTCGAGTTCAGCTTTCTTGGGGGCCTCTGCACGTGCGCATTGCATTCGGTTGCAAGTTCAAACTCGAATTCGATGCCCAAAATTTTTTGGCAAACTCGACATAATATTTAAAATTTATTTTTTATTATTGAAATTATTAAATTATTTTTATTGCTTGCCTTGACAATTTTTCGTTGTTTCGGTTTCAGTTTCAGTTTCGGTTTGGGTGCTTGCTCCCCGGGGGTTAAAATATTATAAAATCCAATTGGGACTATTCGTTGATATATTTATGGCTTTGGGACTTCTGGCATCATCACTTATTGTGTTATTTATGCCTTAATTATTATTTCACGCACTTTTTAAGACACGGAACAATACAAAAAAAAAAAATATTGTTTATATTTCACTTGAGCACTTTGCCCGGTGTGTGTTTTCGATGAGAACTCTCTAACGCAGACGCAGAGAAAACACACAGGAAAATCGGAACTGGAATTGGAAATATTGTATGATTTTAGCTCTCCAACCCGGACCCGGACCGATTGCAGCTCTCTCTCTGGCGGCTCTGGCGGCTGTGTGACTCCGTGTGGCTCTTCTGAGTGCGGCTCAGTGCTTTGCTGCGCTGCGCTGCGCTGTGGCTGCGGCTGTGCTGCCTGCCTGGGTGTTGGGTGCTGCGCTCAAACGTTGAGTTCTATTTGCGTTTGCTCAGAGAACGGCAGCGGCGGCAGTGCTTGCTCCAGAGGCGGCCAAGGGAGGAGTAACAAGAACAGCAACATCAACAGAGCAACACAGCCACACAGCCACAAGCAGAGCAGAGCGCACTGCCAAACCACCCCACGGACCGGAGCAGCGACGTCGACGCAGTAAAAAATCAATACTGCGCCCATGCGTCGACGTCGCTGGGCGACGCGTTTCAAAGAGAGAGAGAGGGAGAGTGCGAAAGGAAAGCCCTCCGCTAGAGTATCGTATATGTAATGCTGTCCTTCTTTAGCCCCCGTTGTTCTACCGCTAAATGTAACTGTTTACCTTTGCAGCACTCCCGCTCAGCCCGTGAAATAACAAAGGGAGAGAGAGACCTACAGAGAGAGTAAGAACAGTGCTGGAAGCTCAGCGCTGGGAAACGGTTAAACAGAGAGCTTCCGTGGGGAAAGCTTTCGCCTGCATATGCGTGCCCAGCCTAACACCCCTTCCACCTCCCCCGGGCAACCATCCTGCGCAGCACTGGAGAGAGACACCGAAATTTGTGTGTTCTTATGTATACGCTTTTTGCAGGGCTGCGCAGCTTACCCCCAAAAGAAGTGCTCATCCCCCCCATACCCACCGACTGGGTGGAAGTCCCCGCTCCCTGAAAAAGAAATTCAGTTCGAAACATCAACCCTTGGAACACAAACAGCAGCAGCAACAACACCACCACCACCACCACTTTACTTTCTCCACTACCATGCCGTCAACAACAACAAAAACAAGAAAAACAACTACAAGGCGGCACGCAAACTCCTGGCGCTTAATATTGACAGTGTCCGTGTCCCGTGTCTGGTTGTTAAACTCGGCGGACATATGGCCACGCATGCACTGCTCGCACTGCTTGGCACCACCACCACCCACCACCAGCGGTAAAGCACCACCATCACAGTGTGCACCACCCTGCTCCCTCTCTCTCTCGCTCGCTGGCTCGCTCTGTGTTTGTTCTCTGTGCACCAACAGGGGATGGCTTTTTGGTTGGGATTTTTGGGCTGCGGTAAGCGCGTATCACTTGCGCGTGCCACTGGAGCATGCCAAAATCACACTCGCCTCCTCGTACAGTGGCGGGCACAAAATGAGAACACAAATGTCACAAAAGGGTACATGGCATAGAAGCCCCTAAGAACATTTGTTTCTCTGCACTGATTTGTATTTACAGAACGCCCTTGGCCATATCCATATCCATATCCATTTCAAAGGTGAATGAAAGGTGTTCCCGAATTGTGTTGATTCGTATGCGTATTCTTCATTGCATTGTTTATTGCTTAGAATTTCTGGGATTGCTTAAAACTTAAGTTGCCGCATAGCACTGACAATTGGACCTAGGTTCTGGTATATTTGTTTATTTTGTCAGCTATAGGAAAATCTCTCGCTACATGGAGATCGGCAGCTCGGCAAAGAGTATTTTAGAAATTCGAGCAGAAAACTGGAATTTCTTCAATGTAAATAGAAAACTATAGGAAAATGGAGCACAAAAGATTCGTCATTCGATCGGTAAGGTTCCAAGCATACATATAACGAAGGATGGGACGGAATATTACAATGTGTAGACAGATCAGGTGAATGCGAATGGTAAGTAGAGTGAATGGCAATTGATTATGATTGAAATCAGATGGGATGTTGCGTGCGCAACCTTCGCTCTCTTTTCTCTTGTTTCTACTTTACGCAGAACTGCGCAAAGTTTGGCCAATTTCGAGTGCGCTGAGAAGCATGCTACAAGCTTGTGCCCCGCAAAACATACACACACACAGAAATGCACAATGCGTGAAGGCAACTCGAATGGAATAATATATGTACATATGTACATATGTATGTATCTACCAATCTGCAAAAGAAAATGGATGGCTATGGGTCACACTCTCACACTCGGCGCTTGCGCATATGGCAACACTGTCAGCAAAGAGAGCTTTATTCTGTGCACTTGGCAATGCTGTGCGACCTGTGTCTGCGTCTGGGCGCAGCTAATGTTATGCTCTGATCTATTTATAACAAGCACAAACACACAGATAGAGAGAGGGGAGAGAGCAAAAGAGAACAGCGAAAGAACATTTGAAATACTTAGAAAAGGTGTTGTTGATATTCTTTTCGCTTTCGGATGGTATTACATTTTCCGTATCTGCCGTTCCCAACGATAGTGGGTGCATGCGCCCACCGCCTAGAAAAATGTGTGCTCCCCCCACGATATGCATGTCTGTATGTATGTATGGGCTACAGCAAACTCCCACTGCGTCAGCGCGCTCACTGCCCCACAAGCACAGACACAGCCACCCATACAGCAGCAGAAGCAGCAGCAGCAGCAGTCGCAACAGCTTTGGCGCATGCTGAAAGTGGCACGGTGGCACAGTGGGAGCAATTATTCAGGGATTTTCGTTCAGGGTATTGCCGTCAACGCAGCTATCACTCTTCGAAATCTCTG